AAAATCATAGCATCATAATTTTCTGAGTTTGAAAACAAATGAAACTTAGTCACATACCTGAAACAACAATATAACTTCTCTTGTCCCCTGGGTCCTCCTTGCACGCAGATAAATGTGTTTGAATAAAGAAGACAGTGAAAAAGATAAAGATTTTAACCCTCCTTTTACTTACGTCTTTGATAAAGCAAATCCCGGCCTTTGTCTATTGCCTGGAAAGCCAAGTGTCAGTTTAGTCCCAAACAGAGAAAGGAAGTTCAACTGAGGCCTCCACCAGGATAAAAGACAACAGGAACAACAGGTGAAGCATTGTAGTCGCACCTACACCAGAAGTTTCAGGTTCATACAGGAAGACCAGGGATCCCCTGCACCTAACAGCTCAGAGCTTGTGTAAACAGCACAGTGATCTTTGGACTTGGATTTTGAGTAGGTGCAGGACAGAAAAGGCAGTAAAACAACAGCAAAGGTGAAGTGCTTCAGCTAATCAGAGGGAATGTTATCATAATCATGTATGTAACACAACCTGCAGTGGCTGCACACTGTTCAGACTGAACAGTTGTTCAGTTTTAGCTTCTTAAATTCAGTTAATTTTACCTCTTTGTGACCATAAGAAAACCCTAGTAGGCTGCTTTTAATATAAATTAAATATAATTATGTATTTAACTACTTACTACCAAGTGGTTATTACAGCTTGAAATAGGTTGACTTCATGCCTGATATGTAGATCCAGGGGACCTCAACATGACCCTCTTACTTAGTGTGGTTGTGTGTGTGCATGCTCTCTGATTGGTAACAACAAACTGGATGAATGAAAGCACATTTGATATGAGAGGACATGCAAGCGTATTAGGTTTCTAAATGGTCAAAACACGCTGCCAGAAGTGAATCTTTACAAATGCACATGGATGTTAACAAAATGTTACATTTCTGTGGCATGTTTGTGATAAGACATTTTTAATACAGTTTTTTGTGATAAGACATACTTGTAATGATTTCTTAGATTTCTTCCCCCAGGGTGGAATGAATGTACAATATAGATCTTTATTAACTTAAAAAAGAAGAATTGGGTGCATGAGTTGAGTTTTACTTAGGGTTTTCTCTAATCCACACAGGGCCAAAGTATACATAAAGGCTCAAGTATATACATACACCCCTGATAATCCCTGGGTAAGTATCCCTTATGAACTTGTATCTTGACTAGATGTTTTTGGTAACAACAAGCTTCTGAGAAAATTCTGGGTGAATTTTTGAGCACTCTTGTCAAAATTGGTTGGCTTCCTGGCATGGACCTGACTTGTAGTCATTCTCACCAGGAATAAGGTTGGAGTTTTGGGAAGACTAGTCCAGAAACATAATGCCATTAAACTTAGTTAAACATTAAATGTTAATGTGTGTTTGGGATCATCGTCCTGTTGGAACACCCAATTGTGTCCAAGTTTGTCACGCTGTCTTCTGAAAGAAACCTTTGGTGGTGACACATTTGAATAACCTGTATTTACAAATGTTTGAAGTGATAATCTTGCATTCTGCATTTCTTTAGAAAGACCTTGCCAACTTGTAAATCTACAGTTGTCATTCTGAGTTCCAATCAATCCACTGAGCAATGCCGAACAAATCCTTTTTATGCTAGCAAAGTGAAACTATCGTTTGTAGTCGAATATGACCAATAATGAGTCAATAGGTAAACAGGCTGGACTTTGTGATGATGATGACGATGATGATGATAATGATGATGCAGGAGCAACACCAACACAGGGCTATCAGATAAGGCATGCTGCACAATCTACCATGGAAATCAATCATTAAAAGCACCAAATTACTATGACATTCATGCCCATGATGAGTGCACGAAAACCACCGACCACAGCTGTACAACCCAAAGCCAAAACTATATTAAGAGATGGGTGTTATTTCTCTGAGTTCAGTTCAAGAAAAAGGGCCAGTGCGCCCAGATGATTTAAACAATCATCTGGGCATCATCTTTATTTATTTATATCTTGCAATCCTATCGTCAAACAATAAAAGTGAATGCAACTGTGTTTGTGGTAATGAAAATAAAGAATTTGCATTCTTATAACCCACTGGGTGAAATGAAAAAGCTATCATATTGTAGTGGGAGAAAGAGCAGGCAAGAAGATTTATAAATACTTATTAAATATTTTATACAAAATTCATTATTTGGAATGTTTACATGGCAACAACAGTTTACAATAATGACAAAGATTACACAAATAATGAAGTACAGTGTTTTACATACTGTACTTGATAACTACAGCAGTGATTTAGTGATAGCATAGGGGTTTAAAATTTTTTGAAAACACAAAAAAAGTGATCAAAAATAAACAGTAGCAACTTGGCACAAGGAACATGTAGCTTAGAGAATGGCTGTGAAACATTGACCCTCTTAAACCAATAACGTTAATTATTCACAGGGGTTAATACACTGTAACAAAGAGGAGCATTGAGTTGTGGTTGTGACCAGTTTCACAATGTGCACGCACTGAGGGTTTTATAATAGAGCAATAATCATTTTTCATTAAGTCTAACATTCACATTTTCCATTACATCACAACACTGACGCACATCACTTCAGTCCACACAACTGAAAAAAAAACAAAAACAAAAAAACCCCAAAAAAAACAAACCATCGTAAACTAATAAGGAGGACCAAGGAAAGCTTTTATAACATCAGAAAGAATAAAGTAACACTAACTATAACACATTAAAAAGAAAACCTAACCCAGATAAATATACCCAATAAAATGATATGGAAAATCACTTGGAAAACTGGACAATGAACATTTTTATGGGCAAAGAAGTAGCTAGTCATCATTGCTGTAAGCCAAAGGAAATACAAGGGCTTTAAAAAAAAGCAATTAAAAAAACAAAACAAAACAAAACAAAGCAAAAAAGATTACTTTTCTTTATTTATTATCTTTTCATCAAAGTAAGGCCACTCCAAAGAGTAGAAGAAAACAGGACAGAATTATATATGTAAACTTTAAATATTTGTCCAGATATGCAGATTTTATTTTTTGGAAGAAAGTTCAACATCTACTATTTCTAAATGAATAATTCAACAAGACAATTATCTCTTAAATCAAGGACACACATGGTTACCTTGGTTATTAATTGCATGACAAGCACTTGCTTGTCACTTTTAGTTTGAGGGTGTGTATTTCAACTTGTTATGAAGCTGCAATTCAGGCCCAATTTAGGCTACATCAGCAGCTTAGACCAACCACTGTGCAAATGCTTTGACACTGTCGTGGTAAATACGTCCATTTTTGGTGGTAAACAATAATTCCATCACAAGTTTTGAAACACAAAAATAAATACGTATAAAAAAAATAAATAAAATGGTTACACCATCATGGTTATACTAGGCTACATGAGCTAAATAAAGATGGCTCAAATAGCACTCTTGTTAAACTTCCACAGTGAATTTTCATGAGGATTTTAGTTAAACCTTATTGTTACTGATTTTTATTCCCTCAGGTTTTATATCTAGCTATTCCTTTTCCCGGGGAAATAGGGCTGGAAACTTCACATGGCAAGGCACACATTAAACCAATTAATCCTTCAAATTGATCTGTGAAATTAGCAAAATTAAGGTTTGTTACTTTAAGTACCTTCATTTCACAAAGTATGTCAGTACTTGACCAGGATTGTGTCCTAGCTAGTGCTCGTTCATTCATCAAACAAAACACTCCTTTATAAGATAAAACATAGTATTTTCACATTTACCCAAACCATCACCCAAGGAGATAGAGAATATGGTTTTTAAAAGCCTACTTCACACATTCACAGTTTGCAGAGTGTAAGGCATAAAACACTTGGCCACAGTTTGGGGTGAGGTGGGGTTATTGCACAATCTCTGCACCAGGGAAGTGCAGAGATTTGTTTGGCCCTTCAACAGGACCTGGCATCATCTGTTCCCTTGAGGCTATGACATGCTCACCGTGCCGCTCCGGCTGATGACAAAGGAGCTACAAATAAGGTTAAATAGCTGAGTAAGTGGTCACTAACCTGTGAAACAGCTGTTGAGTGTGAAGCTTGAGTGAGCCAGCATTTATGTGGCTGTTTGCTGAAAAGCAAATAATATGGATGTTTGAGGAACACTGCAAAGTGACTGTTGGTCAAAAAACAAACAAACAAAAAAAACCCAAGGTGAGAACATAGCAGTGATGTAAGAGAAATGGCAACCCACTACCAAACAGTCAACAGCAGCTAAGACACATCACAGGTCCAAGAAAGAGTCCACATGTTCATCTACAATAAAACTCGGAGAGGATTTTCCATCCTTTTGTTTTCCGTCTTGTTCTCCAGATATCCTCATCTGCCCTCCTCTGCTGATCGAGTTTCTGACTTCAACCTCACAAATTCCTTGGCCACATCATCATTGGACCTTTGAGACAGGATTCGCAAGGCAGTGAGGCCTGTGTCGTCCATGTATATACGCTGTCCAAGGGGGCACCAGCAGGCGCAGTTGCCTTTCTCCATGATGTCTCTTAATTGCAGCACGACCAAACCCACCACCCGGTCGGCACGACCAAAACAGTAATCTTTGACGCATGCTTGCAACTCATAGCACTCAAAGCCATCTTGGTTACCCAGAACACTGTGAAGAGAGAACAGAGCTTTACGTGCTTTGAGTTCTCCAACAGCTTAATGGTGTATCTGTCAGCTTAAAGCTGCAAAAGACTTTCAGGTAGTGTCTCAACATCAATGACCCACTGACATGATTTTATATTTACTTTTCTAGTGGAAATCAATCAAAATATTGTTGTGCAAATCCCCGAATGGACATAATACATTTTACATATAGATTTGAATTACATATGAGCTGCAGCCAAAATTAGTCTTTCCAAGTTTTTCTGTTTTGCTTATTTTTTCATAAACTGCAAAATCTGGAGGAAAAAACCCCCAAATGGACTTACAAATGGAAGGTTTCATTGAACTTGGGAGACCAGCTGTTGTTCTTGGACTTGGTCTGGAACTTCCGTTTCTTGTCACTGAGGTGAGGACCGATCATGGTGATCTCCACAAAGGGTCTGAACATGCCAGACGTCTGCCATTTTAAGTCACTGGCCCCCACAACTGTAGTAATAAATGCGCAACATGATAATGTTGTCAGCTGAAGAGCAAATGTTGCTTAAAATGCCACATTTTTTACATCACTTTAAAAAAATTAAAAAAAACTCAGACTGACCTTTAACAGTAACTTTCCTCTCTCCACTCTTTGGATGAGTATAAAGCTCAATGTGGATACACACCTCTCCAATTGGTTTGTCCACACCTGATCCTAATTTTCATGAAAACACACACACGTTAAGTAAGTTTACATGTGACCACATGTAGGCAAAATACAGAAAAGAAAAGAAAACCAAGTAATAACGCAGGGTCAGGATGGAAGGGAAATGCAGATGCAGAGGATGGGTAAGGAATGACCTACCAACAGAATGACAAAACCAAATTGTGCAAAAGGAGACTGTGTGGGGAAGAAAGGGAGGTTGGCAGTTGATTTCAATGAAACCTACCCCTGCTGGGTTGTATTTTTTCATTGGGAGTTAACCTAATACCCTTTCCATTGTGCACTGGCACAGAGGCAGCACAGGAGATAAAGAGAAGACAGCAATGATACATCAACAAGTTCCAGCATCAACAACACATTAAAAAAAAAGAAAAGAAAAAAAATGGAGCAATTGGTGAAAGGACCTTTCTAATCATGAGCACATAGCACCCTCTGCTGGTTTATCTTTGGTAAGGCTTTCCTTCTGTACCTTTTTACTATTAGATACTTTTATCAGTTACCTTGTGCTTGTTGTGTGGTCACAAACGTCTTGATGAGTGTGTCTGTTGTCTGAGTATAGAGGGACAGAGCGTGGCGGAGTGAGGACAGCTCAGGACTCTTCTCTAGGAAGGCCTTCTTCAGCCCATTCCCTCCTGCATGGAAATATTGCTGCAAAGAGACACAGTGTGAGTTAGGTCATAAATATTTAGATGCACAGCTGCAAGCATCCAATATTTTGTTTCATAATATTCTGACATCTTTTACAGCAAAATAAAAAGTTTAGTAATGAATTAATGAATAAATAGCAGATATAAATAGCAGATGAAGCTAATCTGAGACAGCATCCTAATGAAACCAAAACCCAGAGTACAAACTGACCTTAATTGTGTCCAGTGCCACATCCATGACAGCACACTGCCTGGGGGACAGGCTTTTAGCCTCCCCTGCCATGTGATCCTACACAGCCAAATGGTGAGCAAAAAGGTGAAATAAAAATACTTACACTCTTAGTAAGCACATTTTGTGGACACTTCTTTAAATTAGGGTAACACCGAAGCCCATTTGAGGACACTTATTGTTCAGCTATGTGGAGGCAATATGATACCTTGAGTTTGGAGAGCTGACCCAGTTCTTTTGCAGCTGAGAGAATCTGTGCTCCCTGGAATATAATTTTTTTTTAAATTTTTATGTATGAAAAAAGTTAATAATTTTGTAATATTAGAAATAGGCAAAGTCAATGCTGACTCACAAAGGTATCATTGCCCTGTGGCAGGACAATAGTCTTCTCCAGGCTGGTCATTACAATCCTCCATAGCTCCTTGAGCACACGCTTCAATACAGTCTTCTCACACACAGTAGCAAACAGTGTCAGTCTGCAAGAACACACACATAGACGTTGTAAACATACTGTCACAAGTGCTTGTATTATTCCTTTTAAACATATAAACAATACTGAGAAGTCATTCATGAATGGAAAAAAATATGTCTTTTAGCAAAAATGCACAATTAACAGTTTTGCAGTTGCAAAAACGTCTTTTTTGCTCTGAAAAAACATTTTACCAAATTAATTAATCACCAAATTATCTCAGCCAAAAAAAAATAAAAATTAGACTACAGGACAATTCAATGAATAAACAGAAAACACCGTAGTTTGGCTAAAACAACTACTCACTTTCCATCCAGGAAGTCCATGAGTGGCCTTAGCATGTTGTCAGAGTCAGCCTCCACCTGGTTTTTGTTGTTGGCATTGACTGGTCCTTTGATCTGGTACAGCAAAGATGCCATTTGTCGCATACACTCGTTGATGCGAGTCTGGAAACTGGAATTAAAATAAATAAATAAATACATTATCAATCAGCACAAATGTGTGTTAGCTTTCACAGTTGTATACACACCAGTACAATGTACATACCTGTTCCCAAAGGTTCTACTTAGATCATCCAGCACATTGTTCAGCCTCACCTGCAGGTCATTCAGCAAGTCACAAGCCTCTGTGTCCATCTAAAGACAAGCAAAGACATCATGCCCAGGAGGGATAATGAATCATTTTGACTGAGGCTTTTGTGTTGCGCATATGGTATAAGAAGAGCTCTGAAATATTTTGGCAGAAAAAAGTTTTCGAAACTTTGAAAATCAAGCATATTCAACTGAATGTAGAATGTAGGTGCCAGGTTTTCCAGTGAATGGAATTCCTGGAACCATCAACCAGCAGTTCATATAAGAGTTTCAATCTGACATTTGCAACTTTGGGCCAAAATAGCACAAATTACCTTTGAACCTCTAAAAGCTGCACTTCACAGTAAAAGCCAAGAAGCAGTGAATGGCAGCACGATTTTAAGATTTTCATGGAAACCTGAATAGCTTGTGGGTGTTATGCAGCTTTTTTCAAGTTGTAAAATGTCTGTATTCCATCCTCCTGCAGCACAGTAATTTCAATATCAGACACCCTTGAAAAAGAAATTACACACGCATACATCAGAGCAATCACACTTTTTTCACAGCAGTCTTCAACTTTCCAGAGGTGGAACATTTACACCCCCCCCAAAAAAAAAAAAATGTAGTAGATGTATTGCAAGCAATAAGACTTACAAGGACAGGCTGAAGGGAAAAAGTAGGGAAAAAATTCTTGAATTACTGTAACTCAAGTATATCTGACTCAGGTATAACTGAGGCATCATCTAAATTAGCACTGCCTGGAGGGGAGCTAAGCCATATGGATGAAGCCATGGTGTGGCTCATTAAGTCAATGATTCAATGGCCTTTTGATTCATGGCTTGTCAGGGTTGGGTAGCACCATTAGTGAGAATAAACAGAGGGTTGTGCTAAGCACCGTGATGAGAGGCTGCAGGGAAGGAAAGGCGCTAGGAATGAATTGATGCTGCATATGCTGCATTTTTTTTCCAGCTTTTGGCGTGTATGGAAATATTCACAATGGATGTGTCTGTGTACCTACACTCACCTTTTTGTCTTCAAATGCATTTTCAGTCTACATTGGCACAGAAAGGTGAAGATAACCACGGTTAATAACGGAATAATTTATAATACCTGGGAAACTACAAGAGGTTGATTCCACAAGGTGTTGTGGAAAAAAGGATTGCCTACCTTTTCTACTGGTGCATCCATCTTTGTGTGATGGGAATGTTTGTTTGTTTTTTATTAGAGATAAACAAAAGTTTTTAAAAAATGGTCAAAAAACTTTTTTTTCCCCCCCTTTTTCAACCAGGCAAATAATATGTATAAAAATTTAAATTCAACTATAAATACTGAAAGTGAAAAAGTGTGTGATATTGATACCCACCTTCTCCATGTCAGACTATTGCATTAAAAAAGGGGAAATTGCAAAGAAAAAACAAGAATTAAAGGAAAGCAATAGCAGAAGACTCCGAAATGCTTTAACAGGGAATGAGAGCAGGTTTGCAGAGAACCAGGGAAAATGCCACTGGAAGATTCCCACCCCAACTGATGACACAAACTCAATCAACTCCACTATGATCACCACAAGGAACTGTTGTTGCAGTAGGACTGATTATGACTGCCGTTGCTGGGAGTAGGCACAGTACAATGGGGGAATAGGAGCACAAGAATGACTTGAAAGTGAATGAAGTTAAAACCATTTTGGACTGCAACAAACCTCAGCCTCTATTTTCTCCCTTATTTCCTCTTCCTCTTCCTCACTCTCCTCAAACTATGAGTGGTGGTTAAAAGACAACACACAAAATATGTAAGGCTCATCATTACCCGCCACACCATGTTAAAAAAAGAAAAAAGAAAAAAAGACTTTTCTTCCAAGTGAGTATATGCAGGCATGTAAACATGTATACATATACATTGGACTTGCCTCCCATTCTAATGTAGAGTTGAGCTAGAAAAAGAGAAAACAAAAGACATGACTTTGACTAGATTTTCCATAATTACAGAAGTTCACTTCAATGAATGAAGAGCTGAACTGGACTGTAAAAAAGAGCGAGTGCTTTATTAGCCAACTAGCAAGAGAGTAATGGGTAAAATAAGCTAAAAAACATTCATATTAAGACTTTCCTAGTTAAAGTTTCCTAGTCTGCAAAAGAAATGTCTTTATTTTGATACCAACTTTGTGGTAATTTAAGCAAATGGGGCAGTAGCAACACCACATTTTGCTGCATTTAGTTTATCAGACAGTTAAGCTCAGTAGCTATCCATTGTGGCTTTCTTTCTATTGAATTTGTGGTAATTTGTTGTCGATAAGGTATTGCTAAATGGAATATTTATGCTAAATTAATATTTTTTTAATTAACTGTTAATTTGTTATCACTATTATATTGGTTTTACAGTAAAATATCACATATTATTTATGTAATTGCATTAAGAGACATGAAGCAAAATACAAGTACCTGTTATTTCTAGTCAATATTGTAAATAATCATAATAATTCACAATACAGGTTACCTGCCTATTATTACTACCACATGGGTTAAAGTAGGTGATAAAAAGGTGGTGGTAAATATGATTAGATTAGATAGATTGGATTAGATGAAACTGTATTTATCCCTTGGGTGGGTTCCTCCGGAAAATTCTGTTTCCAGTAGCACAGCACTGACAGAAGTTGCAGAATGTGAGCAGAAATATACCATATATACACATGTATATATATCAATATAACAAATATAGCAAATCCGTCAGTGACCCATCACAGTCAAGGAATAAGATTTTGTAATAATATTAAGCAAACTATTTTCCTTTTACTCAATATTCAGTGATGTAATTAATGGAAGTGCCAGTCTGAGACACCCGCACACACAGAGCATTCACTATGTTTCAGTTAATGCCTTTCATCTATGATTATGTTGAGGAATCACCCTAAAAATAAACACGACAATCAAACTACAAAAACAAACGCACCAATGAAGGTCAAGAACTGTAATCTATGCGCAACACGCGCAGGCAAGTAGATGTGCACACATTAACAGCTACAGGCTAACACGTCATTAGACGCAAAGTTCACCAAAGCAGCTTGGAAGGAGACCACAATTAAAACGTTTGTAAAAGCAAACACAATAACACACTCAAATGACCTTAACCAAGCTGAATAGACTTACTTCAAAGAAGCTAACAAAGGCTAAAAGTAACTAGAACGTTGTTATTTGTATCTTTTTTTTTTTACATCGTTTAACATCTTCTTATATTTTAAAAAGATTTTATAACAAAGAGAAGATGTTTCTGTTTGTATATGCTCAGTGATAGTTCTTAGAAAAAACAAATGGAATCAGCAGGTTACACTTATATTAAAAAAAGGAATCACCCCCAAAATTGCAACCGATCTACAAGCTAAGGAAGCTAAATCAACATTCACTGTGACACACAGGAGCTTTGAGAGGGTACTTCAGCTACTCTGCATGATAAAGGAAGGTTGTGGACTACATAAGATTATGACACTACTGGTTTAAAGTAAATATGGCACAATGTAAACTACAGGCTAACAAGACTGAACTATGATATATTACAATAAATTTTATTATTGATTAGTTAAAGTCTAACTGCTGCAATCCACAATACCCACCGGAGCCTTTGCTTCATCCTCAATTGCAACCTGCTACTCAAGCCACAGCATAAAGGAAATAATCAATACGGTGCTCCACAGCATACCATGAAAATGATTTAATTATATTAGAAAGATGTACATTTATATGGATAAATATCCACCCTGACCAGACTATATTGGAACCGTACCTCCTCTTCTTCTTCCTTCTCCTCTTCTATGATTTCATTTTGCTTCAATTGTAAAGTGAAAACATTTGGTTGAAATATAGGCTACAGCATCCCACAGCTATCATCCTACGATCACTCCAACAATATAAGTTAAATAAAATTTTTTTAAAAAGGGTTCCATAAAGCTATGATACTGCAGAAATGTTGTAGGGAATGAAGGCAGTGGGGAGGTAACAGCTAGGAGAAAAGCTATTGATTTTCAATGCTCTAGCTACAATATTGATATGGAGGACATGACTAAATTAAGTCTCTGCTTCAATACTCTGTCTATTAAGAAGCATAGGGCTAACCACTGTAACCACTGATCTAGGGCTACACTTTCACTGACAGCTTCACATCAGGCATTAAGCATACAGATCTGAACATAAGATAATATTCAAAGCGTAAGCAAATGCTACTATGTCACATCTTAACACATCTTAATCCATTAACATTTGCCATTTACTTTAAATTAGCTAAACTACCACTACTGTACGTACCAATGCTTCTTGTATTGCAATCTGACACATGAAAGACACAAATGCAACTGTTGTACAGCAAATTTAAAATGTAATTTTATGAATGACTGATGTTTTTCTTTTTTTCTACACGAGTGATGCTACCAATTTATTAACAAAACCGGATACCATCATGCATCATGTCTTCATATCCATCATATTTAGACTCACCTGTTTGGCACCCATTGACTCAAACATCTTTTCCAGCTGGATTCTTAACTGCTGAACATTATTCATTAATACACAGGGCTACAAGAAGACAGAGAGAGACGTTAAGAGTGATTTTGTGATCTTTTTTTATGTATCATGTCCAATGTAATAAATGTTTTTTCAGCACAATTGGCAGAATTGGCTGAAAAAAACATGGCAGAAATTGGCAGGAAAAAAAAAAACTTACAATCTTCTCTTTGTCAATATAAGATGGAAAATTCTTGGTCAGCATGGCACTGTACTGCAGAAGAACTTTGGCAATTGTCTGTAAAGACAGGCAGAAATAAAGGCATTTAAACGGCATTTACGAAAAAAAAAAAAAAAGCTATTTAAAATCAAATTTCTCTCTTATCTCTTCAAAGGGGGATAATATTGTACTTCGGGGGTTTCGCTAATCAACATAAATATTCCAAAATGTGCTTTAATGTATTCTGTAGCAAGGAGACAAACAAATTCTAAAGTAGGACATTTTTCTCAGCAGACTTTTCCACAGGAGGGAACTGTTATGCCTAGTTCAACAATTCTTTTTAATCCAGCAATATAAAAATTCTCTTTTGCAAAAAGTCAAAATGTCCCACAAGACATTGCTATAGTGGTTTAATAGTTTTTTCCCTCATATTTCGTGGTCATTTTTCAGAAACATTGGAAGTTTAAAGCAAATCTTTATTAATTCTAGAATTGTTAAACACAAATGCACACCATATTTCATGCAGCTCGATCAAGCTGGTTTGACTTTAAATGTCATCATCGGGTGGAGTACATTACCTTGGAAAAGCGGCGACTATACTGAGCCATGACCCTAGGATCAGGACATTCCAATTTCTTGATAATCTCAAAGCTCTGGTTGAGCTGGGTGAAGATGTCCACCACAGAGCAGGAGAACAGAGCATGCTCAGATGTCTGCTGGAACTGAGATGAGTGCACAAATGACACTTACTTCTTATCAACACTCATATAGTAGATAAAACAACATCTACAAGCAGAATGTTAAAGAACATCAACAAGATTTTAAAGCAGCTTTTTAATGTCCCCATGCTGATAGCATGGCTGTGTCTGTAAACACAAAGATAACTTTTTTCAGTTCAGCACTATTTTAAATTAGAACCTCAAAGGTATCGTAGAGATATCATATCAAAGGGTAAGTTCTAGTTTTCTTACTCCATCTTTTTTGTCTCTTTCCAGAGCTCCATTCATAAATTCCATAGATACTTCCTCATTTTCGTCCAACCACTGTAGCACAAACTGCACAAACCATCTAAAAGTGAGAAATAAAGATTAGCAAATATGTTTTTTGTTTTTTTTAAACACAGTTCTTTTTATCTTTGTTTAGATGGATTATCAAAGTCAAAAAAGGCAATAACATTTGCCTTTTCTTGTGCCTGTCACTGAAAAGGTCAAATGCACTTACGATGGGTAGTCTGGTACAACACCCTTAAACACTGGCAGCTCCTTGACATATTCATTGTAGAGCCACTTGACCTTGAAGTGCAGGTTCATGTAGTCTGTGCTCTTACACAGCCTGTGCTTCTCATGCTCTGCCGGTTTAAAAACATAAGGAGCCATATGAACTTAGGGATGTGAAGATTAAAGTCAACGTCCCCATTTTAGTAAAAGCTAATATAAGACAGCCAAAAGGTAAGGTGAAGCAATCATATGGTGCATATGGACATCTGAGTATTGTAACAAAACCTCAAAGAACCCCAATGCATACAACCCCCCCCCCCAAAAAAACCCACCTTAACATGAAATCGTTTCTAAATTCTAGTGTATGTCGTTGTTCTTCACTTAAATTCTGAATGAACTTGTAAAATAATTCTACAGTATCCTCTTATTAAAGGAAAAAAAAAAAAATCGGACTAATCCAAAAACTTTCTTTGGGAAACATGTTCTCTGACGGCCTAATGCTCAACAAAGACGAAAGAACACACACACTAATCCCATTTTATGTATTTGCTCACTGTAGAATGTGGTGTGACTAAATTCTAAAAGTCTTTGCTTTATTCGCTTTGAATGTTTTTTCTGAGATGAGATGTATTAATATCAAGCAATGGCGTGGCCTGCTTGAACTGCAGCTACACAGATATAAGGTAGTAATACAATCAAAGACTGTGAGAACTTTAAAATGTTTACAAAATATTGATTAGCCTTAAAATGAGCAGATGCAGGTTCTTTTTTATTGACATGCTTAAAAATAACAGCTAGAGCTTTGAATCGTAAGCACTCAGTGTTTCGTCTCTGTAGCAAACTCTCCATCTATGAACTTTTCATGTTTATTCAGATTGAAAATAAAGAAGGCGCCACTTGTGTGTTTTGATGCATTTTGTGAAACAGATATTTCACACTAGTCTCTGTAGGGGATTCATTTTGAGGACAAGGGCTAGAATAAAAACCGGGTGTCTCTGAACACCAATAGCGCTGTGGAGTACAGTATAATAGAGAAAAAGTGCAGAGAGGCTCCAGGGACACATAAGCAGCTTTCAATCCTAGCACATTTATTATATTCTCTCCAACTTCTTCTGTTCCATTGTGTCATTGCTACCCCAGTATTTCCTCTCCCCTTCTGGTCATTTTAGGTTCCCAGAGCTTCTTTTCTCATATGCTTGTTATCACACCCTGACTCTCCAGCTTTTTCCTTTACTTCTAGCAGACAAACTACAGTGCACCTCCACAGTCTAACCCAGCAGAATAATCTTATAAAGAGTCCAGAATACCAAGACCTACCTTCCATAGCATACTTCATGTCCTGTGCAAACAATGTCCACATGACCTCTGCTGACACCTTTCCTACATTAAGTTCTTGAGGGAACCTGAGACAGATGGGAAGATGTGACAAGGTGAAACCTAGTGGATTCCTGAGTTTAATGCAAGCATCCATAAAAATGTCCTAGATCTCTGGAAAAAGAATCAAGCAAAACATTTTGTTGAACTACTGCAGTTGAAGTAAAACCTAAAAATAAGGAGACCTGATTTTGATGTATTCAAGCGGCTTGAATATTTTAGGAGTAGAGTTGCATGACTCACTGGTTCAGTACAGGTGTGTAGGAGTTTCTGTCTTCTTCAATGATGGAAACAATGAGCATGATGAGTTTGGGCCAGAAGTCCAGATTCTTAATGCTTGGACCCTGCTCCTCCAGAGGAAGCTCCTCCTTGTTCTGAATAAAAACCAAAAGGAAAACAGTTAACATTATAGTCGCCCCTTTGTTGAAACATTTATTCATCGGCCTGCTGCTACAGAGTCTGATAGCTGCACATTGTATCCTGCAGCTGTGTGACTCACCGTGTCCACAGGCTGGTATTGTCTGCTGTACAGCTCGTGGCAGTTATTGAAAATGTAGTCGTATGTAGAGTTGAGGCAAGCTTTGACACAATCCCTCACAACTTGACTGGCTCTGGGCGGAGACTGTAACTCCTGGACCTGGAAAGAAGACGAAGATAGCTACAGAGTCAGTAGATGACTGCAAACAAGGGATATTTTATCAACTTGTCAATATCTGGCAACAACTTCAAGGGAAAAAACATTCAAGTCAACAAACTGATAAGAAGATACTACAAAGCTGAACTACAGATAAAGAATATGCAATGTTACCTACCTTCATCCTGAAAAAGGTAATGCTGGTTAGAAGGTCCACAGTGGATTTCAGATCTTGCAGGCGATCCTTGCTGCTGGCAGGGAAGTGATTCTAAAGAAGAAAAACACGTTTGGTTTACAAGTTTTCACACTTTTCAAAGACTGTTGGCACAATTTGCACAAAAAATATTCATTAATCAGATGATGAAAAAATTCTTTTTTTTGTTTTTTTACTGGCACAAAAATATTAGACATATACATTTAGAAAACAAGACTAGTAGTGATACAAGAATCTCACCCTATAACTAGAAAGGTCAATGCGTAAGGAGTTGTGCAGCTGGTCTAAGAGCTTGACAAAGCGTTCTTTCTGTAATGGGAAGAAAAGGGGAAAAAACATGTTCCTATATTAGAAAGAAGTTTGGCAATCTATTTGTGCATAAAATGCAATAGCGAAGAAAGGAAGAGAAAATAAAACAAAACAAAACAAAGTACTTTACTGTGTCTGTGTGTGTGTCAGTAGTACAAACCCCAAAATTAGAAGCAGCAAAGCGGTCGGAGGCAGAAACATTGGTGGAGGCTGTTGTGTGGGCGTAGAAGGCATTGATATTGGCCAGCAGGGTGCTCATCACTGCAGGGACTCCAGGACACATGTACTTAGAAGACAGACAGGCAAAGTGCCTGCATAGAGTAGCAAATGCAAAGCTTGGTAAGTACTTGGGTGGGAGGCCTTAAGACTTCTTCAACAATGTGTACCTGCTTACACTTTGTTGCAATAATGTCAGCATCCAGTTCAAATACCTTTATTTGGACAGTCTGCATGTACTACAGGCTCTTGTTTTCACGTGACAATTTCTATTAGGAATTGTCGTGCTATCTGCCCATCACCTACCTGACACATTTAGACTGAATAATAGCCCACTGAAGCATTTTTCTGCGAATGATTGACCTAGCTAACAGTCATCTGTATGGATGATGACACTGCAGTGAGACACATCCATCCTCACCCTGTTTATAATTGACTGTACCTCATCTGAAGGCCAGAGAATGACAATGGCACCAAGAGGTTTATTGATATGACCTCAAAAGACAGGGAAAGGAACATGGGGAATAAAGAGGTAACACATATTGACAGGTAAGAAGACAGTCCAATTCACTGTGTTTTTAGACTCACGTCATGGCCTGGTAGATGGACTCAATCCCATAGCGCATGGCAAACTCATCCACTACGTCCTGTCCCACATCATCAAAGTAGACTTTCCAAGAATCGTCTCCACGAGCCTCTGGAATTTTTACCACACCTTGACCAAGTACATCAGTTGAATGATGGAACAAGTTCTGTAATGGGAAGAAATGGACAGACTTGATCTAATTCACATGAACTTCAGAGCTAACACTAAAGCGTGAGAAGTGATGGTAAAGTTATGGTGGCTTTTTACTGAAACAAATATGATGAGATTGTTGCAATTTACGCTTAATATTATTTTAACTGGATGTGTGTAGAATACAGACTTGAAAAGCTTTGGTTTGACAGATTATAGGATTTTCAGTTTCATAAGCACAGGTCCTTTAGCCCTGATTCAAAATTTGATTTGTTTTTTTCAGGGAAGAGGTTGGATTATGGAAATATCACTGTGCCTTTAATCCTGTCCAAATCTATCACGTCTGCAGTCAATCTGTGCAACACATTGAAACAGCTACAATAGTGGTTGCAACCACTTATGCAAACCCTTTGTGTGGAGAAGTTGCTGAATATCCAGCGTGTCTAGGTAATTAATCGTGATTCTGCAGAATCATATACCTCATGCAAACAAGTGTACTGCACGTGATATGGAGCCACTTTCTCCTCTCCTTTGATCTCCACGTTGATTTGGAGGCGAATGGCACCAGACACAGCTGATTTGTCTGTCCTTTTCTCTGTATTTAAGTACAAAACAGTCAATCAGATGCACATCGGGAATGTCTTGATTCATAACTTGAGTCCAAATCTGTGACACCAAAAGCACTCTAAACTAGGTCTGTTAACACAACCCTAATCACAGACTATTAGCTTGGCAATTCTATTGTAAGGGCTTCTGTTTCTACAGTTTGATGGTCGTCCAGAGTCAGCGATGATAATAGAAGTCCTCCAGCTGATAGTGAGTGTAACAAAGGCAATGGGCTGCATGAGTCTGTGCCTGATAACAGAAGACATTTGAGCTAGAGCGTTTCTGGAGGTGGAGTTCTTGGCGGCTCACCCCTGCTATTTGCCCTGACAGGCAAATCATTTGGGGTAATTTGTACATGTCGCTAGAGTGGTCGATTTCCGACTCGAGTGCTGCTACTTGATAATCACATATCAGGAGGTGAAAGGAAGAGAGTCAGAGAGGGAGGGAGAAAGAGATAGTGAAAATGTTTTGTTTTTTCCCCCCTTTCTCTCATGAACTAGGTATATTACATCATTAATCATTAATTAAGCATTCAAATCCAATTCATAATAAAACCTATCAAAATAAATATTTGATCATACAGTTTTCAGGGAGATATTAAACCAAGCAAGTCAAATCTCCCAGCTTAAAAAAACAAACAACCCCCCCCCCTACACACACACACAAAACAACAACAACGGTAGATTTATGGGCACATTCATATTCAGTGACAAGCTGTTGCACTTGAAGATTTATTACTGCTGCTGTCAGGTCAATTTTAGCACTTTAATCAAGTATGAACAAAAAAATGTGCTTAAGAAAAGTGAACGCCTCACCCTTACATACAACATATGAAGAGATACGAAGACGCAGAGACAGTAATTCAGAAATATTATTCTAAAGACAACATTTGTTTGCCCACAAGACTGGGATTAGATTTTATCCTGAGAGGTATTCAAGCTACATATATTCATGCTGCACAACTAGTGCTCATGTAGACTAGCACACAGGCCTGAGAAATCAGATCCTGTATACTTGTTAATTATTTTGTTCAGGCATCATCCTAATGAAACTGCCTGCACACCCTAGGGATAGAATTGGGGGATTATCGTGAAACTTTTTCCTTAAAATTATCACAACTTCTTGCTAGCAGGGAGAAACTCATTTAAAATGTAATCAAATAAGCTAGTATTTTCATGCAGACCAACACAGGCCTTAGGGAAGCAACATGCCTGGGTATAAATATGTTTGCTGCAGGGAAAGGAGATGTGACTAATGAGGTACAAACAACAGACTGGACTTGCTGAAAGCAAGGCTTTTAGTGCCAAACAAAAACATACAGATGTGAAATTGATGTAACAAGCAGATGAGATCCAGGTTATAAACAGGCATGGTAACATGATACAAGGTGTGACCAAAAGATTGGGAGTAGATATTGGGAGTTTTAGTAGGTATTGATGCATTTAACAAAAAAGATAAATACATAAATAAATTTAGCTGAGCTTTACTTGAAAGTCATATTCACACTACCTCTCAGATTGCGCTGTCGAGGACCCATTATGACCACTTACACTGTGCGTTCTGTGACACTGCCTCCCCTCCGCATATACTATACAGTTTTCTTCATGATGTCTATTAAAAAAAGGCAAGAAAGCCAACTGACCCAGGTTATACCAGACATCCATTTCTCCGCTCAGCGTTCGGACTTCAATGATGCTCTGTCCCAGGAAATCGTCAGATTCCCTCTTCAGACGCTGCTTCACTCTGGACTTGATGTCATCATCTTCATCCCACACTCGCACTTTGATTCGGTCTGAGGAATTGTGGCACTCACTAACAAAACAAAACAAAACAAAACAAAACAAAACAAAACAAAAAAAGGAGCAAAAAAGAAACATAAACTGAATAATATTAAGTTACAAGATGATAGATACTACAAGGGAGTAATTAAGGTGAGCACTTATAGCACTACTGATAACAAGCACTCAAGGAACAAACAAAAAAAAAAAAACCAGAACCCCCCCCCCCCCAACAACTTTTTTGATTTCATAACCAAGAAACGACTCACAAATGGAACTTTTCCTCCCAGACTGGATTGAGGTTTCCATAGATGGTCTTTGTTCTCTTCTTGGTCTTGCCCACCTGAACAGTGACATACGGATCACTGGATCCTGTCTTGTCTTTTGCCTGAAGTCCTTGTGCACAAACAACTAACCAAGACATAAGAAACAATAAAAAATTACAGAGAGCACATGTAACATAGCTCCAAAGTTGTCGTTGAGCTGTGGTGGCAAAATACCTGTGATTGTGATCTTGGCTGACCACTTTGACGTCCCATCCAATACGCTTTGTTTGATGGTTTTCATCTGCTGTGCATGGATGGCTTTGCTGATGACAAACACTTCCCTGATCAGCTCAAAGATTTCTGGTTTGTTTCTTTCCCTGATCTTCATCCTGTCCTTCATGGCCATGATGATATTTTGAGTGCGGTCTTCAGCTCCATGCTTAGAGCTCTTCTCTGCCGCACCTAAATATTTATTTTAAAAAAAAAAAGAAAAAACAGACCGAAAAAGCTTGAAACTAAAAAATATACATATGCCACTTCAGTGGTTACAAGTTAAATAAAAATGATTTTTAATGTGGGGAAAATATTCTTAAACATTTGAGACAAAATTGTAATGAAACAGCTTCCCGATAACGTAAAAATGTAGTTTCAGATCCCTGATGGAAACTTCTGTGAAACATTTCCTTAGTACTCACGCTGCAGACAGTCAGCATTCAGTAATTCTTGGCACTTTTCATGGCACTTGACACCACACTCAGAACAACGCATGCCTTGCCGTGCGATTCCCCACAGGAGCCCCTCACACTCATAGCAGTATGTAGGTGTAGTCGCTGTCCACACCTCGAAGTTATGTGGTGTGGTGCAAGATATGGGGTAGATAAGAGCCTGCAGGGTCTTCTTGTAGACATGATTTTTCTACAGAAGGAAGAAGATCTATTTTTAAAAGTCCTAATCCAGGGAAACAAAAACAAAAACAAAAACCTTATCAGTTATAAGGATGTGCTTATGCTGAAAGGCCGATGGAGTCACAACCATGAAAACTGTGTCACTGGGAAGTTTTTGAAACCGACAATCTCCAAGATGCAAAGCAGAAGTTTTTTTCCCCCCCGCATACTCACCAGCTCCTCATCCTTAATTGATGATCGAGCAGCCATTGCAGATGCGATCCCTGCCTTCCTGGCTTGGACAAGGGACTGAACAACATGACAAATACAAAGAAAAAAAAAAATCAGCAAAGTTTGTGTACAAAGTCAAAACAACCCACAACCAAGCACACTGAAAAACAGTTCTGCAACAATAAAAGTCAATATGGTTAAAAGGTTTGAGGGGTTAGTTATAAAGGTGCTTAATAGAATTGTTATTATCTTTATTCTATGAACTTGATGAACACTTACCATATGGTGAGAACCCATGTGAGTATTATTAGTACCAAGCAAGTTAGCCCAAAGTCAACATTATAAAACATAGACAGGCCTTTGTTAGTAGTTTATTCTATCCAGTCAATTTGATCAAAAAGAAGAAAAACAACGTTAACCAAAAGGTGAGGGAATGACCTGTTGGCAATGTATTTTGATGGGAATGTTGAATAGAAAGAAAAGTAACCCAGGACCAAAAGGACACATGCAAATGTCTTCAATTGTAATAAACAGGAAGTATGGCAGAGATCAACATACTATGCCTGGTGACTACTGTTAACTGTCCTAGTTTATTTTGTACTTCAGTAGAAAAGGGAGTGTCAACTAGGTTCTATAACTTACCATAGCCTGACCAAGGAGAGTGAATGCATTCAAGAGAGTTGTGGGGAATAATTTTGGGTTTAAGAGAGGAGGGAGAGAGACATTAGCAGGCTGATTTCATTTTTGTCTCCATTCTTTGAAACAACTCCATCCCAAATTCAGTGTAAAAGAAAAACTAACAAACAAACAAAAACTATTGTTGTACTGGTCTCATTTACAGAAACACTCACAGTAAAGAACAAAACAAACTGAATGAGATACAAAATATGGTGTATTTATAGGAAAATAAACAATAGGTGAGTACTGACCACATCGCTGACCAATGGGATAGGCTTCTTTTTACGTAGGTCCGGCATACTGTCAATTCCATACAGACCAGAGCCTCCACTACGGAACAAGCAAAACAGTTTTTATTTAGGTTTAAAATACAAATTTATTTAATCTAACCAAACTTCACCAATACAACACTATGTATAACTTACCCTGTTTTGACCCATGCCTGTCGAGTACTGGGTTCAACATCTCTGACCTGTAAGTGTTTTAAATGTGAGAATTTAGGCTAGTGGCTTACAAAGACATAAAGAACTATGTTATGAGAGGAGTGGTGTTTGTGGAACCAGGCTTGGTTGAGTTTGACCTCTCTGATGTCACAGAACATGCAAATTAAAAAACAAACAAACAATAAAAAAAAAATTAATTAAAAGATGGGACTAAAATGAATGCTGCTGAACTCTTTAATTAGGTTAAGTGAAATTAAAGTGTGGACCACGATCACAGTATGTAGATGCAAAACTAAAGAATATATTTTATTTCCAAATAGGACAAAAGCACGACCACAAAATTTTTGTCCGGGTGATTAAACATGCATAGAAGGTCTTTTTTTTATTTCTTCCTACAAGTATAACTTTTTTCTTTTTCATTTATTTAGTTGACAGTGGAGTTTCCTCTGGGGTTCTTTCTAATAGATTTTGATAGTGTTTGAAAATATTATGAAGGCGAAAACAGAACATGACACAAGAAATAACACCACAAACATTGTAAAGTTACAGCAAGCTCCTGGTAAATTATTCTGTAACAGATTAACTAAAGTTATCAGGCAAATGTCTCATCTAGAATGTCAATAATACGTTCAGACTAAAAATTACACATCTATGCAGTCAATACCATATATAATGTGTATTTAGAGCATCATGCTTTGGAAACAACAAGTATTTATGTTGATAAGAAAAGTAAGAACAGTACTGTGTGGGGGGGATGCACACAAATTAATAAATAAACAAACCGAACAAAAACAAAATAATGTAGCTTGAACATGGAGCTAATATATTTCAAGTAACCTGATTATCTTCTCTCCAACAGTCTGCAAAAACAAAACAAAATACAAGTATCATTATAAATCAAGTTGAGTAGCTGTACATGAGCAAAGTCAAACAATTTTGTAACTAAAGGAAATGCATTTAGTTCACTACAAAAATAAAGATTTGATTTTTGCTGTTATTACCAGGCTTGCAAGTGGTATATATGCAAAAAATAAATGAATAAATAAAATACCTGATACAAACTCGTCTTGAGACTGAGATCCTTGGGACCCTTGGGAGCCTTGAGAACCATGGGATCCCTGTGCAGATTTGGACAGTCTATGACGAGTTTGCCTCTTTTCTCTTAGAATACGTTGGAAATTCTCTATACGTGCTCTGTGACTGGCATCAGTTAGCCTGCCTTGCTTTTCATCAGTCAGCCTTTCTTGATTTTCTTCATGAAGAACATGGTTTTCCCTTATGGGACTTAAGCGCACCTCATCTTGGTTACGAACTGGACCCAGTGGACTTTCATCCTGCCTTGTTGCATACTGGTGGTCAGGCGTTATATCAAACTTGGACAGTTCTTCATCTGTTGAATAGTCTCCTTTTCCTTGTGAAATCTCTACAGAGTGATATTCTGTTGGAGTTCCAGGAGAGGGGCTTGCTTTATGTGGAGATGCTTGAAGGGAGCATGATAGATTCTCGTGCATCTCAAGACAATCCATGTAGACTGAAGGATCACTGTCCTCATTTGAGGTGGCAAAGTGAGGATAATTCTCTGTAAGGCTAATCTCTCCCTCTGTATAATCTACAGTGATATGCTCATCCTCAGGTTCAGAAATTTGTTTACCCAAGGATGGCGGTGCCTCTGTACCACTATCATCTTTTTCATCTTCGGTATTCAAACCTTCCAACTTTTTGAAAGCCCCTTTTAAAGCTGACCTGACCGTGAGTACAGCCTTGCTAAAACTTGTTGGATCAAAACCTACGTCAGCAGTCCTGGGTGTGCTTTCAGGATCTATTTCAGGCGACTCTGGTGACAATGTTTCTCCTACATCCTCCCTGGAAATGCTGTGATCTGTCCACTCTCTGTCCAAACTCTCAGCAGAACCGAGATCGAGAGTGTCCCCAGATGACGGGCAATAATCACATGGTGAATGTGGCTCTAAATAACCATCATCACAGTCTGTCAACAACACAGTGGAACAGCTCAAGCTCCAAGAGGGCCCACTCTCAAGTTCATTCGCACAGGCATCTGTGGTGTGGTATCCAGAACTACGTGAAAATGGACAGTTTGCAGCACAGTCGCACTCCAAGTTTTCTCCCTCAGCTTCCTGTCTCAGAGGCCTCCAGTCCACCTGACTGGAAGAACTTGAAGGTGAATTATAATGGGTTCCAAACAACAATGAAAGGTGCTCTGAACTGTTGTGAGAAGAATGACCTGGTGTGCTGCTTTGTGTGTCCTCTCTTGCACGTCTGTTCCAAACTCCTAGAAAGCTCTCAAGCTCTTCTCCACTGTTTGCACAAGAGGAAACATCCTCCTCACTCCAACCACCTTCTCTACTAATACTGTGCTGAATATCAGCAGTTGGCCATCTGCTATACTCCGTGTCACCAGGAAGAAAGGCTGCCTCTGGACAATTGGAGCTCTGACATGATGACAATGAGCTAGTACTTTGGTAGTTTTGGTCACAGTGAAGCTCCAGGTAACAGACATCAGACAAGCGCATGTCTGAACTCTGCTCCAGGTACTCTTGATCTTTTTGATGGACTGTTCTGCAAGTGGCTTGATCATGCCATTGTTTGGGGGATCTATGTGATGATACATATCCTGAATCTCTTCCATAATCATTGCAGTCCAGCAAAGGATTGGGATCACCTGTGTGAGGAGAAGAGATTGCATTCTGCCTATCCAGACTTCCATGCCTGGTGTGACGTGTTTGAGAAACAGGGCTAGGATGCGTTACAGCTGAAGCCCCGGAATATAGCTCACCTATTTCACTGAGCACTGCATCGACACAACAAGATACTTCATCCACTGAGCCTCGCACAGATGTTAGATACTGCCTCAGGTCAGAAATTTCCTCTTGGATCTTATTGATTCCTTTCAGCTCCTTCAGGATATGCTCCACTACGTTACTATGGTCTGCTTCCTCATCCTCCATCTTCTGCCTCCATTCCTCATTTGTGATTCTTTCAAGAATCTTGGGGATAGAAGCCTCCACAACTTCACTGCCATCTTGGCAATCAGAATTTCTGTCTTTCTCAGATATGGTGGGGTTAGCTTTGGTTATTGTTTTGCTGACTGATATCTGGTCATGAAATGAATTATCTTCTGGTGCCTGTAGACACTTCTGTAGTTTTTTACAGAGACTTTGCCCTACATTGGGGAGCTGTGTTTTTTTCTTCTGCAGCTCACTCTTCTTGGGTGAGAGTGGAACTGGCTCCAGTTCGTTGGGTTCATCCTCTCCACTGACGTGTCCTCTGGGAAACATCCCTGAGAATTGGCACTTGTGATCAACTGTTCCTACACATGGAGATATCACTGCCTCTGTGACTCCTCCTTAAGATGGGTCAAGTATAAGCCAGCATCTTAACCTGCATATGAGTAAGTATCTGCAAGTAAGTTATTTTGTTGAAAAAGCTTTAAAAAACCATGTGATTATTATGCCTACCAGCTCTCTGTTATCAGATGGCAGCTAAATATGATAAAACCACCACATGAACTTTGGAACTGTCAACTTGCCCTTCTACCAGCAATTACCTAAAACACAGGTACATAAATAAAACTAGTACAGGAAAGGTAATGATAAAGTATGCAAATGTATGCATTTTAAAAGTAGTGATTTTAAATGTAAACTCTTTTTTTTATAATTCCCTCAATGAGAAAGTAATTTATCTTTCCCATTTTTATTAAACCCATCAAGTGAAAAACACAGACACATAAAACTTTACTGTTTTATGACCACTAGCTCAGACCACAGTGGAGTTCTAATTCTGACTATGCACAATATCTTAAACACTGGGCAGAAAGTTCATTTGCCTTCTGGATTAAAGACATCCCATATGGAAAAGAAATAGTAAAGACTTATATGATTTACTTATGAAAGTGACCACTTTCTCAATACGTTCATATATTGTTTTAGTAAGTATCCAAAACATACAAGTTTTCATTTATGTAATTTTTCAAGGGATCTTATATGTGTTTTCACTCTTGTATGCTTTTCATACAAGTTTCACGCAAGACAGATACAAACTTTATAAGATTTATATACATCTTTTCCATATGGGATGGCTGAATGCATTTGAGCACACATGGAATACCTCTATGAGAGACTACACTACTCTCCACAATACAAATGCTGGATAGACATTGTTTTAACTGAGAGTCAGTCAGAGTGTCAACTTCCAGAATGAACGCCATGCAGCTGCTTAGATCTCTGTAATTAGGATGCTTTGGAAAGACAGCACAGTAATTAGATGACAGGTCAATTCTCTCCTCTGAGGCCATGCCATTCTTACACACCCTTACCAGCTGCATGGCTTAATAGCTCTGATCCATTGGTACACACTGGAATGACAACTGAATACCCCAACTGTAACATAAATCTGGTTCTGGCATTATTTCATTCACAGAGGGCATTTACCATAGCTCTGTGATTTTGTCTTCTTCACTGAGACAATTACCAAATTCTCAAAAATGTAGAAGATGTTGCAGTAGTTTCAAGGTCAAGTTCTGTTCATCATCCCTGCTTTAATACTGCTTGTAACTCAAATTAAGGAGTTTTAATTGGACACGGCAGGATTTCTTAGCTCTACAAATAGTGCACTATATAATTCTTTTGAGATTTGTAAATGCTACTTTAAAAAATATTATTAATAATATCATAATTATATTATATTTAAAAATAGTAATAAAATTCACACTTATCTCTTCCATCTCTGTGACTAAATATCTGGTTAAAAAAAAACCATAGGAGGCCTTAGCTTCTTTTATAGAGTTGCAATATTTTCATTTAAGATGGCCTCAGACTAAAGTAAGCTTATTTCTGGGGACTTTCTCTGTATTTTACAATACCTTTGTAGTCAATTTGCTTTATAACATAACTATACCATGGCAAAGTTTTAGGAAAGCAAATGTCCAATTCTATTAAGTAAACTAATCCAGGGAGTGCATAATATAATTGCTAAATACATTAACACACCCCTGCACTTGAGGTCTCCAATAAGCACTTTAGCACAGAAGGTGTGTATTACCCTGATAAGCGTTTAGTGGGTAGAAATGTATAATCAGCCAATCAAAACTGACTGTTTCAGTCACCAATCTGAGAATGAAAATAAGCTGATGATCTTATCAGCTGAATGGAATCCCCCTATCCTACATTTACAGGCAGCAATGTGCTTCACAATAAAATTACAGTTATAAATATTATTTTATTCCATAAAATAATTATTAATAGCCATATTTAATTTACAAACATACCAACTAATGCTAGTTTTAGACATACTTGATGAATATGTGTAAACAAACAAAGTCGCATCAATGTGTAACTAATTAATTGATTGATTGACTGATTGATCATAATAACTGAGGGGCAGGTAGGGGTTCGGGCCATATTCCAAGTGAGTCAATCTTCAGCGGTCTCCCTTTTTTCCCCCCTTTCCTTATTAAATAATCCACAGCTTTCATTAAAAAGAAAGAAAAAGAATAAGTAAAAAAGGCATCTTGCTTTTGACTTTTTTAGCTGGCTTCTCATCAATGAGTGAGATTTTAGAATACTGAAAGAAGAGATGCCTTCTTGACATTTAATTGGCTAAACATGGTTGCGTATCTATGCACTACAATACTACATCTTCCATACAGTAACCTGTACAATCTATATTTTTAATCAAAGTATATGTTAAATATATATTTAACATAAATATACTAAATAAAATGTAATCCTTACCTTATCAGAAAGAATGAACAACCTGTAGATACCATCTTATAAAATTGATTAATTCCACATGGAGGGTTGCTCAGCAGCTCGTAATAGCAATTCCCTGTATTTTATAAAAATATTTACCCAGGTGTACTGGTGAACATTGTTCAGTGTCAATCAAACCAGCAAATCTTCCTTCAAGTTAAAAAAAATATACAAGTGCTGAGTTCCTGATTTCTACAACCGAAATAGCCAGCACAGCACAAGTAGATGATCACACAGCAGTTCACCCTCTGTTAAGTAGCTATCCCTCCCACCCTCTTGCATGCTTTCACTGCACTAGCTCTCTCTCTCTCTCTCTCCCTCTCTCTCACTGTTCTCTGGGAGTGTATTCCAGTGCAAACCTAATCTGAGGGTGTAAGACTACCAGCTTTTAGCTGATCACAGTCACTGTAAAGAGTCATTTGTCAAAATGTATTGTTTTTAAAACTTCAAAAACATTCAAGCTAAACACATTGGCAGTACTACTATCCCTGAGTGACTAAATGAGAATTTGTGGAGTCGAAGGATAATGTGTATAAACTTTAAAGCATATTCTCATCAAGTATGGGTTATGGATTTGCCTCCCATGATTCCTTGCTGTCGTCAAGTGTGATTAAATTACTACAATCTCATTCCAAACCTTTCTTTGAAAATAAACAAGCACGTATGTTTTAGGGTATCAAATCTAGCATTTTCATTATGCTAGTCACTGTGACACCACGCGAAAACTTTCCAATTCTAATTAATTATAATCTTTACCAGCAGCCTTGTGTGATAAGTATTTCCTTGCATCATTTAATGATTAGCACTTAGACAGCTTTCACCCTTGATTTATACTCATGTCTTCAATCACTCATTTATAGTTCATGTTCATCTCAACCACTTCATGGAAGTCATCATTATAATGAAGGCACGCAAGGGCTATATGCCCTGCTCCTTCATTGCCATGCTATTAAAGCTTTAGTCAGGGAGGATGAACTATAGTTATGACTAACAAATCCCAATATTGTCATTATGAACACAGTAAAGTCCAGTCTTTCTGACTGGTCTTAAATTATTAAATTTAACATCTAAACTTAAAATTCTCCAGAAATGGTAATGCAGATTGCACCTATATTTGGTCACATTACAGTTGATTCCATAATGCCACAATTGCCTTTTTAACAAAGGTCATTTGATTTGTAAAAAACAAACAAACAAACAAACACAAACACTGGGCTAAAGATACTGATTACAAGCTATACAGTATATGGAGATATGTGTCACTGCATATATTCTGTTTTCGCACATTCTGATAAAATACACAACAACCGTTTAGTAAAAGAAACATAAACATAAAAAACATAAAAGAAACACAACATAAAAAGAAATACTGGTAGCTACCGCTACACCACAGCCTTCTAACAGATGTAAAAATGTAAGATTTTAGTTGATTTTCAAAAAAGTTGACATCTGAACTTGACCTTGAGTTCAAGGTCACTGAGTTCAAAGATTTTTAGTGGCTGCAACTTGGTAATTATTTGAAAATCTTTGGCGACGTCCTTCTTGAGTTATCGTTTTCAGGAGATTTTCAGATTTTATCCCTGAATTTGTCAAACATAGCAGATATCCTTGGAAGAAGAACATAGTAAGGACTTTTGTGAGCAAAACATCTACTAATGCAATATAGATTTTTCATGCAGTGAGTAATCTGCCTAAAATCAACACTATATTTCTTATTATGAGTACCACATGAAGAGAGTAAATTCCACATTTAAGACTTAATAAGACGGAGAGGAGACAAAGATATCTCATATAAGTTACAAAATGAAGACTACTTAAAAATTAGAGGATCATAAAAACTTTTGCTGGGTAGTTTTAACAGAGGAGCACATTGTTAGTCGTGTGCCTGCAATTAGGACACCAATTCACTAGACGTAATATCATTCTAGTACATTTTAGTGCATCTGCATGAACATTCAGAGAGACTAAACTCAACCAGTTTCAAAGGATTGTATGTATGAACGTGCTTGCAAATGTTGTGTGTACAAGGACTGGGAAAAGAAGAAAGTTGGAATTAAGGGTTAATAACAGATTGAACATTGTTGGAGGAACTGAAGTTAAAATACTGCATACCTCCCGCAGTTGAACTCTGACTTTAGTGATGGCCTTCATCCAATGAAGTCTGGATTGGGAAAAGGGTAATGGTGGTCCATCATCATCATGGAAACTAGGTCTAGGTTACATGGATTGAAGCATTAGATGAAAAGAAGAGAAAGAGGAAATCTCTCAGTTCTCAGGCATTTTCATTATATCAAACACATTTGAATTACAAGCAAAAATGTACCTGTGGAGTTTGGGGGATCCTGTCTCTGCTGTAGTATCACTTTTTATGTCCTGTCTTTTGTCAGGGGACAGCCTATCCATCTCCCGCTCACTGACCACAGAGTGTCCATTGATGGAGAGATTTGTGCCATTTGTGCGTAGCTGCCCATTGGTAGAAGGGTGAAAACCAGTACTATGATAGGAGTGGAAGGACTCCTCCAGTTCTGACCCTCCAGTGCTCTCGTGGCCAGTCTCACTAAGCTGGGAGCTGGTCTGGCTAAGATTTCCTGATGACCCAAAGCGACTACTTTCCACTGGACTACAATGGTGAGAAAGGAGTGAGAAAAACATTCAGAATGGTGAAATATCATTTCTGAATATTTTATAGTTTTAAGTTTGCACTACAAAAGACTGAATGGATTCGTAAAATATGATGATTACTAGATGTACACGTAAAAAAATATTTAATAAATAAAAGTGTATAAATTAAAGCAGAATTCCATGACAATGTTGCAAACAACTTAATTCATAAAATGTATATAGCCCAATTCACAACAACAGTCGGCTCAAGATGTTTGAGTACAATGTAGATTCAGCCAGAAAGTTAAAACTCAATACAACATTGTTGTGGAATTCGGATTTAAAATGACAAATGATACAGCAGATACTAAACACAAAAAGGCCACACTGAACAACACAGACAAAGACACAAAATAACTAAATTAGTGAAAATTGACTGCAAAGCTGAATAGGAAAAACTTTTTTTCCCCAAAATCCCCACTTCACAAATGGGGGCAGGGAGGGAGGATGCCATTTATTGTACTTTTACTAGCCTTTTTGTATTCAACAGAAGATTGGACTGGTTGTCCAGCTGCACTCCAGAGTTAGGACCTGCAGAGGGGTGAATTTCTACAAGCCTTTCCTCCTCTTTTGGGGTCAGGGATGCTGAAGGATCTACATCAGGAGTGGAGATGCAAATCTGGGGAGTTGCTATATCATCTGTGGAACCTACCGGTACAGTTTTTTCGGCTTCAGTTGTTTCGACCTTTTGTACAGTCTCATTGCTTGCTGAACTGTTGTTAGTTTGGAGTTGAGAAGTTATAACTGGGACAGCTTGTGATTTGGATGGCTGTGTCTGCTGAGGAAAACCTGCATTTTCCCTCAGTAATGAAATGGTGGATGGCTCTTGTTTTTCAGTATTAGGTTTTTCCTCTTGAAATACGCCTCCAGAAAGGTTTTTCAGCCCTGAAATTAGGCTACTACCTCCTTCTGTCTGAGACAATGATGAAGCAAGTGATGGTGCTGATGACATCAGGGATCCAAGAGATTTTACTGCATTGCTCTGTGCTGATATAAACCCAAACAAAGACTTAGCTTGAGAAGGCTCTGCATTGTTGGGCAACTGATTAGGAGGTGAAGTAACATTAACATCTGCCTCTGTGACATCAGGTGGGACTGACTTGTCACTTTCTTTACTCTCAGGGTCCTCTTTAATAACCATGGGCTTCTCATGTATCACTTCTCCCTCCCCTTCTGGCTTTTCTTTTTCATTGTTAACTACCTGATGAATGACAGAAATGTCTTTTGCTGCACTTGAAACAGTAGAAGTTTTTAAACAAGCTGTTTCAGTTTCCCCAGCACTGTCATTTATTAAGCTGCCAGGCTTCACTTGATCTTTATCTTGCAATGTTGAGCCCATCATTATATTTGCACTGGTGATTGGTTTGGGTACCGCTGGCACAGATTCAGATGGCTTAGGTGGTTGTCCCATTGCACTGGCTGTTGGTTTTGGTATAGCTGGCACAGATTCAGATGGCTTAGGTGGTTGTCCCATAGCCCCAAACAAAGATCCTCCTATGCCACCAAGTAAAGTTGATGCTCCAGTTTGTGATCCTGCAGTCTGACCAGTAGCTCCTCCAAACATTCCTCCAAACAAAGAACCACCAGCCTGAGGTGTAACTCCAGAAGCTCCAAACATTCCACCCAGTAATGAGCCACCACTCTGGGGAACTGCAGATTTGGTGCTGGATCCTCCCCCAAACATCCCACCTAATATTGAACCTCCGGTGGTGGGGGCAGTGGCTTGAGTAGCAGACTGAGGAGCGGACCCTTTAAATAAGCCTCCAAGTAATGATCCACCTGTCTGGGGAGACGCTGCCTGGGCACTGGGGCCTCCAAAAATACCCCCTAGTATTGACGCACCAGTCTGAATGGAGGAAGGTTGGGGTGCTGTTCCTCCCAATCCAAAAGGCTTTTGCTGTTGCTGACCTTCAGTGGGAGTAGGTGTTGGTTTGAAAAGGGTGGACGTGAAGCTAGTAACTGTATCTGACTTGTCTGGCACTGGAGGTTTCTGCTGTTCTTGGGCCAAAGAACTTACAGACTGAGGGAATTGCATTTCCTCTTCTGCATTAGATGTTTTTGTATCTTGACTCAACTGACTACTACTTGCAATCTCTGAATTTACAATTTGTTCTGTTGATGCACACATTTCAAACTCTTTAGACTGATTTTTTTCAGATAAAGCAGTTTGCTTATCAGTATCTTGGCAACTTACTTCTTCTATGAGACTATCCTCACCTTTAGACAAGCTTGCAGCAAGAGGCTGAACTTTATTCTCAAGTGTATTTGGGATTTCCACTTGATCGTTGCTTTTGATCAAAGTATTAATTTCACTTGTATCACCACCAGTTGAAACAGTTTTACTGTCAATGGCTTTTTGTTGATCAGTTACAGTTGATGTAGTGCTGTTGAGAGTGGTAGTTGATATTTTGTCATTATTAGATGTTGGAGTAGTTGTTGCATCTGAAGTAGATCCTCCAAACACTGAAAACAAACTTGTGTCATTTGGACCAGAAGCGCCAGTTAAAATACTACCTAGAAGAGATGTACCTGTCTGTACACCAGCTGTTGGAGATGGTGAACTGCCCAAAATCCCTCCGAATATAGAGTTTTTATTTTGAGTTGCGGAAGTCTGATCAGCCCCACCAAAACTTCCACTTGTGGACCCACTAGTTTGCACAAGAGATGAAACTGTTGAACCACCGAATATACCACCCAAAATAGACCCAGCAGACTGGGATCCAGCAGCCTGGGAAGCAGATCCTCCAAATAAGCCTCCAAGTAATGATGACCCTGGTTGTGATCCTGTAGTTTGGGGAACAGAACCACCAGTCTTGTTGAGACTAGCTTGTGGAGCAGTCTGCGGTACAGACCCTCCAAATAACCCACCTAGCAATGATCCTCCTACTTGAGATGATGGTGTTTGAGGTGAAGAACCTCCAAACATTGCCCCTAACAGAGAACTTCCAGTCTGTGAAGAGGGCTGAGGGGCAGAACTTGCAAACACTGAAAATAACCCCTTGGCTGATTGGTCTTTCAGGCCCGATGATCCAGGTGTAGATCCTGTAGTTGACAGATCTGTTTTGGTAGAACTTGGCTCAGTGCTGGGTGTAGAAAATAAAGAAAGAAAACCTTTTCTTGGCTCATCTGAGATAGAACCAGTTGAAGATGGAGGATGTGGGTCTGATCCACTAATCACAGAGGCTGAAGGTTCTTTAGAAAAAGAAGGATCCTGGGGTGCACTCTCTGTGCTCATTTCCTTATGCACAACACCACATTCTAAATTTGAGTGCTTAGACATAACATCACTGGCTTCAAATGAGTCACCACAAGTATTTGTGGTAACTACTGTAATATCACTAGATGGGACAGCATGCACTTGACAGGAGTTACTATCAGATTTGTTCCCTGAGAATTCACTAGAAGGGGCATCTTTGAGGACATGGTCACTTGAAATAGATGCCATCTGGGAAGAACTTTGTTGTGAATGAATAGCTGGGGACTCTTTGGCAGAGGTGGCAGCAGATGAACTGGGAGTCTGTTGTGGTGTTGGCAAAACATCGTTAAAAACAGAACACATACTCTTGGTTGGTTCTTTTGGGACTGCAGTCCCTGGTGTGTAGGGCATGTTTGTATCCCCTCCAGTTCTTGGTGGTTGAGGGGAACTAGGACCACTAAACACGGAAAACAATGTTTTTCTTGGATTTTCAGTAGAGGCAGACAATCCACCGAATATACCCCCAAGAACAGAGGTAGCTGTTTGTCCTTGTGGTAGAGGCTGTTCTTGTGGTTTAGATTGTGCCTGTGGTCCCCCTTGTTGTTGAGTTTGTGACTGGGCTACTCGTTCTTGAAATGGTCTTGTTGATGACTGTGTTTGTGGCGGGTTGGGATCACTAAACATTGACAACAGCCCCTTCATTGGGCTTTCAGCTGAACTTGATGATCCAGGAAGAATTCCCCCTAGAAAAGATCCAGTTTGATTTTGAGATTGTTGGGTGCTGTGACTGCCGAACATTGAAAGGAACCCTGTAGATGGAGGATCCTTTGGAGGGATAGTTCCCCCCTGTGGCGCCTCAGTGTTGGGCCTGGTTTCGTTAGGAGGTGCATGAGGAGTTGATGCTGACAAATTTGATAATAAACTTTTACCAAGTGTTTCCTGTTGAGAAGGCTGTGAAGGTGTGCTTGATGGGTGTGTTTGAGACAATGTCCCAGATTTATCTGTAGTCTGCTGAGTATTTGGCCCTGTAAACATTGAAAATATAGTTTTACCAAGTGATTCTTCCTGTTGACCAGTAGGACCAGACTGGTTAGATGCTGCTGATCCCCCAAATATTTCTCCAACTGAAAATCCAAACAGTCCACCAGATGGTTTACTTTCAGTTTCCTGCGTTGTTTGTGCAACAGGCGGCACAGATTGTGAGTGGCTGGCTGCAGAGCCTGTAGGGATACTCTGAGTAGACACTTCCAATATATTTTTATCTGGGATTAGGCTCTGCATGGGCCTAGATGAGCCACTTTGGTCTAACGTTTGCTGTCTCTGAATACCTTTAGATCGAGATGCTGTTGTTAGTGAATCCTCTGTAACACTAGGTTTGATTTGCTGTTTTTGTGGTTGAGAGGGCTCAGTGCTAAACAGATTACTGATTGACCCCAAAAGATTTGAAACTCCTGTAGCCTCTTTATTTGTAGTGGCACTTCCTGGTAAGGAGCTTGTGCTGCCAGTTTTGCTCTGTTGATTTGGAGATGTGTCAGTAAATTTATTGAGAACTGGTTTGGTTTCCTCCATTCCTACTGCAGATTTTAGGAAGTTCATCAACCCTGCCTGTGGTTGTTCAGATGGTTTTCCCACTGGTATGTCCATCGGTTTATCCGATGTAGGTTGTCCAGTTGGTGCAGGTTTACTAAGATATTCTTTTGATCCTAAAGGCACTGTCACATTGAGGTTTGTTGGTGGAGTCACTTGTTGTACCATGGTAGTCT